AAATATTTGTATCTATAAAAATAACGTATAAACAGAAAACGTCTTAAAATAATTGTCGCATTTGTCAATTTCAATTTATATATATATATATATATATATATATATATATATATATATATTATTATTATTATTATTATTATTATTATTATTATTATTATTAAAATGTCAAATATTTAAAATCCCATAGGTAATAATGTTTATTTTATGAGAGCTTTAAAAAACAACTCTCGAAATTCAAAACCTACAAACAAATAATTTTTGTTTGCAGGTCTTGAAGGTTGAGATCTGTTTTTTTAAAGTTCTCATGGAATAGAAATTATTGCCTATGAGATTTTAAGTGTTTGATATTCTTTAATTAAATATAATTTTCTTCTGTCTCTTCACATAGACCTTTCCCTGGCTCTATATCCTCCTGGAAATTGCATACGGTTTACCATATTGTATTTCGAGAATATTTAACATCGAAAAACATAAGAAAAATTAATAATATGGTTAATATCCACTCTTTGCCTGATGAAGGTCGCGAGACCGGAAACTCGTGTAGCAAAATTATGGAAAATAAAGCATAATATATTTTTTTTTTAAATTCACATTACAACCAAAAACGTTTGCGGTTTCTCTCTTCTTTTATTATACACACTTTTCTCTCGTTGGAATTACTATAACCTCTTCCCTTCACATATATATATATATATATATATATATATATATATATATATATATATATATATAACGTCATCCACAGACAGACTGTTTCGCAGCTCATCAGTGTGGCTAGACATCTGAATTGGTGTCAGTCGGAGATTCTAATCATTAAGCCGTCGGCGCACGGTAGGAATGAAAGTGAATTTTTTAGCGTATTTATTTTTAGAAACACGCCCAGTGACCGACAGTGACTCAATTCGCATCTGCAAAGAGTCTCTCTATATAGCTATAATAGTCACTGTTTACCAACCCACACCTCGTCCCCAGAGAGCTCAACTGAAATTGATATTTCAGGAGCCAATATACAGACAGACTGTTTCGCTGTTTCACAGCTCATCAGTGTGGCTAGACATCCGGTTGCCTCTAGCCAGGATCGAAACCCGACTGAATTGGTGTCAATCGGAGATTCTAACCATTAAGCCGTGTGAATTTTTTAGCGTATTTATTTTTAGAAACACGCAAAATGAGGAACATTGTTTTAATATCCTATGTAGTGATGTTTTTATTCTAATATCCTAAAATAAATATATATAGATATGGTGTATATTTGGGCAGCAACCTTTCTATCAAACATGTTTCGTTGAGTATGACAGAAAAGGAAAAGCTGATGAAAAATCTTAATTAGTTTTTTCTAATATTATTACATTTTCCCTTTGGTGGAAGTAAGGGAATGTCAAAATTGTCCATAGTGTATATTGTCCTAAGCGCTTTCGGCTACTCCTTTAACCATTTTCAAGGCAGGTTGTTTTTAAGCGTTGTTATTTTTTTTAATGTTTGTTTGCTATAGTTTTTGTACTGTTTAAATAGTAGTAGCGTTTATTCCAAGCCTCGTGAGTTGTGCGTGGGGGGGGGTATTCGAGTTGACGACTTTCTACTTTAGAAAAAACCTTCAACTACCATTTCTGCTGCTGAACAATGTGAGATTTATAGTGGGTGCCAGATATTTTATGTAAATGGCCTCTCTTACAGCGGGATGTTTTCTGTAACAGGACCTGTTTAAGATGCTATTGTTATCAACCAGAATCTTCGTAACGTGACGTGTACATGTGAGTCGAATCGAATTCACTATGTGTTCGATGTTAGTTGATCGTGATCAATCTACAACGCAAAGGCAGGCGCAAGTCGCTGTCCCGTCTGTGTCACACCTGCACGGAGTCAAACGGCCTGTGAAACGATCGCATCAGACTTTTCGCTTGTGGCACTCTCTTCAGGCTTCTTGCTTTCCGGTCATTATTGATCTTCAAAATGCAATGTCAATCGTTATCTTTTGTCTTCTTAATATCCGTTCCTTCATTGTTCTCTGTCTTTAATAATGTTTTTCTTTTCTTATACGCATTCACACTCAGTAACAGCCATCCCCTGCGTCTTAGTGACTGTGTTGCCATGTGTGGTGGAGAATGGATAAAAAATCAAGAAAAGAATTCCATACTGTCTATGGGTGCACATTCAAAAACGGAAGACGACCCGACCTTTGCAGCCGATCTCTCCTCTGATCTAGCTCTCACAGATCAATAAGGAAGTAAATGGAATACTACTTGCATTTCCTGAAAACCCAATTTCGTTTCTTCAGAAGGTAACCCCCAAACTTTTGGCTTACAGTAAACATTTACATATATAAATATTCTATTTATTTATATCCATAGGTATGCACACAGATTGGGAAAGAGACAGTGTGAAAGAGTGAGCACGAAAGAGAGAGGGGAATATATATATATATATATATATATATATATATATATATATATATATAGCAGCATGGCCCGGCGTTGCCCGTCCTTGATTCAAAAGTCGTACGACTCATACAGCAATCACTATCACTTGACTTAAAATATTTTTGCCCTTCCTTGCCTTTAAAAGAGTGCTCTTTTCCGTGCTGATGTTGCTACTTGCCTTACTTCTTGCCTATCTCACATTGCGAATTTTTTCGAAGCTTTTTTCGAAGCTCTATACTAAACATTAAATTTGTTACGAAAAAAGAACTAAACAAAATGAACACAAAACGATCAGCTTTAAAAAAGGATTCGTAACTAGAAAAACCGAATGAAAAACGAATTTTTAACAAATACTTTTTCACACCCAACCCAGTTCTGCTGAATCAGAATCAACGTTGAGTGAATGAAGCAAGTGAATGAGCCAATTGGATTAAAGTGCCATGCAGATTTAAATTTTTCCCACTTATGACAATTGCGGCTATCGATTTTTTTTGCATGCTAGCATGCTAGTTAACATTCGTGTCAGTCAGCTGTTGGCTCTCATGCTGGCCAGTAGAATCTTCCTGCCTATTTGTGGCAGCCAGCTATAGGCTCTCACTCTGGCCAGTAGAAAATGGCCACAAACTACATGAAAACTGCCGTAGAAGCATGAAAAAATTGATTATTTCCACTATCGATGGGAGTCGGGAAATGCAAGGTCGATCTTGGCATTCACGCTATCTTGGAGCATATGCATGTAAATTTTGGTGCAAATCCGTCGAAAATTGCGGCCGTGCATTCGTTACACACACACATCCTGCCTTTTACATATATATATATATATATGTGAAAATATATTGAAAATAGGAAGGAACTGGTTAGGTGAATAGTCCAAAGTTCCTTAGTATTTTTGTTATTATTTTTAAAAAATAGTGCTCGATACAAAAGTAGAGCATAAATATAATTATTTATTTAAAAATATGATTATTTATGTAGCGATTTGGAATCATATTTTTAAATAAACAATTATATATATATATATATATCTCATTCGCTGTATCACAGCACCTCAGTGTGACTAGACATCCGAATGCCTCAAGCCAGGATCGAAACCCAACCAATCTGGTGTCAGTCAGAGCCTCTATCACTGAGATGACTTCAGTCGACAGAGTTACGCAGCCAAAAGGAAAACAAATGGCTAAATACAACATCGCTGGAATGTGACGCCCTCCGTAGCCGTGTCGTCTAAGGCAGGTTGAATCAGACGGCGACTTCTTCTACAAAATGAGTTGTAGGTTCTTCATTAAGTTTTCTCGGGTGTGAAGACCTGTAGGTATGATGTACACGGTTTAAAATCTTAAATACGGGTATCCAATAAAAACAGAAATAATATTCATTTTAGTGCATGAAACGTACAAATAACTTTTTTAATGAATTTAATTTGGTAAAAGCATGCTTTGGTTACATGAATTGTTTCCATAATGGAAAAAAAGGGATACAGGTTCGATTCTTGTCGGGTGGTACATTTTTTGCTTTTATCAGATCTCTTGAACTAGGCTGGTTTATATTAATTTCACTTTTTAAAATTAAAAAAAAAAAAACAGAGATGTCAACTCAAACACGTGTACCCACTACAGTGTAACCCGGATATAAGAGACCCGGATATAAGAGAAACCCGGATATAAGAGAGATTTTCTCTGGTCCCAAATTAGAGCCTGCGAGTTAATGTATATAAAATAGACCAAACCCGGATATAAGAGAAACCCGGATATAAGAGACTTCTTCTCCGGTCCCGACAACTCTCTTATATCCGGGTTACACTGTATATATATATATATATATATATAGAGAGAGAGAGAGAGAGAGAGAGTGAGTGATTGAAAAGTAACTCCCTATTTTCAAATAATTATAATTTATTAACTATATTTTTTTTTACAAAAAACGCATATGAGAGGAAAGCATTATTTTGCATAAGGTTTTATTTAAGAGTGGATATGGGCACTAGATTTGGTTACCAGGCTCTCGGGCCGCCTAGGAATCACATCAACTGATTTCACCAGTAACTCTTGTGGTATGGAAGACATAACTTCTTGTATTCATCCTTCAAGTTCTTCCAAAGTCTTGGTTTGGTATACTAAACTTGCTCTTTTAACCAATTCCAAAGAAAAAGTCACATAGTGTTAAGTGAGGACTCCTGGCTGGCTATACTCATACATAAAATACGGATTTACTTTTCAATTACTCTGTATATAGATAATAATAATAATAATAATAATAATAATAATTATTATTATTATTATTATTAGTCGTAGTAGTAGTAGTAGTAGTAGTAGTAATGTATAAGATCAATGATATTCACTTCGACGGAAATGTTTATTTGCCCGAAAAACGGATGTCAGTTACGCCAAATGCAAATTTAAAAGGACCGCATATTTTTGTACTGGAAGCGTACTTACAAATTTGCACTTGGCCGACGCCGTTTTTCCGAATTTCTTTGTGAGCAATGACCCCGGCGACATCACAAAACGGAGTTGACGAAGTGCAAAAGTACATCAGTTGCAGCTGAGGCAGGCAAACCCGCCACCACAACCGCCGCCGCCGCCGATGCGATCACCATTTATCGAGAACACACCGAATCGCTCCGTCGTCGTCGACATTTTCGTTGCTGCTACCGCCACCGCTTTTGCTAGTGCTTTTCGCCTCTGTCTTGCATGCATATCTACTGCTACATTAAGCACCTCCTCCTGCTCTTCCATCCCCACCTCTCCCCCTGCTGTTGGTGCAACTACTGCACCAACAGCAGAAAATGCACTGTGCACCCTTTTGTTACTTAGTTATTCTAGGCGGCGCACACACACGCATACACACACACACACACACACACTGACATTAAATCGTATAGACTTCAGGATATCGATAATCCCCTTGTGGGGTATACAGTAGTTCTCTTTTATCTGCGGGGAATATGTTTTAAGATTCACCGCGGATGCGTGAAACCTTGCATGTTATCAAACCCTATATAGTTTTCTATACTTATATATATATATATATATATATATATAGCTAAGATAAAATTTAGTTCATAACTTTGACATAGTAAGAGATTAGCAACAAGAATCAATAATAAAATAGAACAGTTATAAAAATATACTGGAATAAAAGTTATGTGACGGATAGAAAATTCGTTCTTACCGTAGATCTTGTTTGGCACAATAAGAAATTAACAGAAATAACTAACAGAACAATTATAATATTATATTCTATTAAAAAATGTCATGTGAAGGACAGATTTGTTTTACCCTAAGACATAATAAAAGATTTTTTTAATGAATCGTATAACCTCAAGCAAGGTAATAATGCCACTAAGACGCAAAGTCTTATTGGCAGTGAAAGAGAATGAGAAGACTTTAGTAAGGAGAAAGGATAATAAAAGAACAGGGTTCATGTATACAGAGAAAAAAAAATAGAAACTTGTTCTTAGAAAGACAGAATATGGCGATTGGCATTGCATTTACATTTTTGACGATTGCAGGTGGCAGGGAAGCAAGAAACCGAAAGAAGGCGAGAGAAGAAACTGTTAGAATAGAACTTACGGTTCCATCTAACGAGTTCAACATTAAAACGGTGGGACCTAACTGCCAATCTATTGGTACGCCTAAATTCATGCAGTCGAGGCATCAAGATGGAAAATGCCATGAAAATATTTATAGAAACAAAAAAGTCATTCCACAGCCGTGCCGAAACGTGACTGAAGTCGTGGTTCCAGATCAAAGCAAGAATGACTAGTAATAAAATAAGACAATTCTTAGGGCGTTAGGCACAATCAGTGATTAACAATAATAGCAAGTAATGAAATAGAACAATTATCAGTATTTAAGCAACGACGAAGTTTTAGAGTTTCAACAAAAATGGACGCTTGTACTTAACACCAGAAAAAGACAGTTGAAATTTTTTGAGACACATAACGAGGAAAGAGAGTTTGGAAAATTGGATACTCACAGAACAGATTGAAGGTAAGAGGTTCAGTGGAAAGCAACGCAAAATCTACCTGGTGAGTTTGAGCGAATAGACAGAGGAGTAGGGTTTGGGAGAGATAGCAGAAAGACAAAAGTCATTAAGATCTTGTTATATAAGAATAAAGTGTCGCTGCCGACACTTGAGTTTGAACATAGATCGCCAGAGAGCAAACACAAACGATCCCATTATTGAATTAATTAGACCACGTGACCATAGGGGGAAACGCATAAGTAAGAATTAGCTTGGCATTTAATTGATCGCCATTTCTAGTCTATCCTCTGTACTATACGGGTCACCATTTCTACTCTGTCCTTTATTAATATACGGATCGCTATTCTCTATACTATTTACAATACTATTTCTCTATTCGGATCACTATTCAGTGGTTACTATTCGAGTGAGTATTATCGAGCAAGTATTATTAGTGTGAGTTATATTCAAATGCGTCTGACACCAGTATTGTTCAACGGCGTTACTGTAGTTGTATCTGCGATTACAAAGTCTCTACTACAACGAGCATTAGAAAACTGACAATGAGTATTCGTTGGCATCACAGAAGTAACAAAGAGTGTTCGTTGACATTATAAAAAATCTACAAAGGACAGGAAATTGTGGAGGGCCATGACCGCCAACGGTGCATATAGAAGAAGATGGAGATACGATTCGTTCTTGTCGTAGATCTTGGTACAGGATTTTTTTCTTTCCTTATTAAGTCAAGTAGATTTATCTTTTCACATAAATGCAGAACGTTATGGCTTCTCTTTTGTATATTTGAATTGGCGGTATCATATCTTTGTGTTTTGGACTCATTATTAGATAAAACTTAGGAATTTTTTTTATAGAGTCTCAAGCAGTGACTATATAACCGCGGAAGCGAAACTGTTGTTAAAAAGCACCACTCTACACATACTCGAGAAGATATTCACATACCTACCCTTATATATATGAAATAAAGAAAAAAATCAAATACATACATTCTCCACATAGCAAGCCCTTTAAATAGGCACCGCACTAGACCCGTGAGTGACTTTAGTTCAATAAGGAAGTACTTAAACACTCATCTCTCTGCTCCCGACAGAAAAAAAAACCTTTGTAGATAATACTGTTATGCTTCGATTATCTTTAAAAGTTTTTTACAATTAGATGTTTTTAAAATGACAATATCATCTAAAAATTGAATGAGTAAAAATTATTCTTAAAAGTCTTTTGCAATTACACTTTTTTAATTTTATAGAAGAGTAACGAACTATGGTCAACTTTAATTACTTTGAAACCAGTCGCAGCGCATTTGGAGTTTTTCGAAAGCCTGCTAGTATGAATATGAAAAAGTATTCTTTCAAAAATTTTCGAACTAGCAGCGTCTCTCGCTTGGTACGCATGTGTAGACGTGGGAACATCAACAAAGCTTAGTCCGATGAAATCTTAACAGATGAAACGCGTCACAAAATCTCTTTTTTCCAATTTGTCATAATATTTGTCTAAATACTGTTTGTTGACATAAAATTATATATTGTTATATATATATATATATATATATATATATATATATAGATAACTAAACTCGTTTCGAAAAACCCTCGAATTTTTGATTTGCTAATCAAATCAATCTCGAGGGAAAAAAGGTTTTAAAAAAGAAAGAGCTACAAACATGAACTTCTGTCGACAAAAAAAAAACGCACAGATGCAGGTCTGAAGCCCAAAGAAAAAACCCCGATACGAGTAACAACTAACTAACAAAAGCACTCAATACAACCGTAGAGCAGCTTGACTTTCCCTGACGATCCGTTTAGGTGAAACCTAGGTAGGTTTGTCTGGCTCACTAGGTTTATCTCTCTCTCTCTCTCTATATATATATATATATATATATATATACAGACAGACTGTTTCGCTGTATCACACCTCATCAGTGTGGCTAGACATCCGATTGCTTCAAGCTGAGATCGAAATTCAGCCGATTTGGCATCAGTCAAAAACTCTACCGCTAAGCTATCGGTGCACGGCAGAGAACGGTAATCTTTTAACGTGTTATATACGTGATGTATATAAACGCGAGACCACCAGCCATAGCGCTCAATTCCGACCAAGAGATATATTGAAGAAATTGTAAAACAAAATGAAAAAAATACTTTCATCCATTAGAACCTCAGCGGACTGAGTTTGTTAACATTGTTATGACTAACAGAAAATCTAGCCGAAAACGTTGAAACAAGCTGGACGTCAATTTACTGGACTAGCGATTAAAGTACTTTCTAGACATTTTCGTCTCAGTGAATAATTTTCTCGTTTAGTTAGAATAGAATTTTTATGTCAAAATTGTGCTCGGTTTCGTTACGCTGAACAATCAAAGCGTTTTGTATGTTGTGTTTTAAAATGTCTATTTTGTATCCATATAGTCTTTTGATTAAACTACTTGAGGTTTCTCCAATATATTCTTTCTGGCAATCCTTGCAGTTAATAGAGTAATTTCTTCCTTCAAGTTTTGGCTGGTTGTTTTGTTTCATATTGATAAAGTCTTTTATTGTTCTAGATATCTGTCTATATTTCTGAGATGAGGTATTATGTACACTATTTACATTATTCAGACTATTGTCCTCACCTTTGTCGCTATATTATAGTTGTCACAAATTTAATGTTAAGTTTAGATAAATTCTTTTCGGTTGTAGTTGTGATAGAGTTAGTAGGTAAGATAGTATATTTTTGATTCGTTGGGTTTGTCAGGAGAGACAGCCTTTGTATTTTGGAATATTTTATGAGCGTTTTCGCAATGAATATGAAATGGTTATGGTATTGAAGGATCTTGAAAGTATTTTCAACATATTTCTCCTCTTCGTGTAAATATTGAGGGCTGCACATTCTGAGTGCTCTTAAGTATAAACCGATAATCATTGCAGATTTTATTTTGTTGTTATGATGGGAATAAAAGTTTATTAGGTCATTTTAAGCAATATATATATATATATATATAATTTACTATGAATGAATATTCAAATCCCCCCAAAAAAATTTCTGTCACTTATATATCCTTGCTTGATCCAGCTTCTAAAGGTCTGGAGAGTGCAGCTTGGTGAAAGAAGACGTGGATCTTGGGGCACAAGTCGTTGGGTTATGTATACTTGGATAAGTATCACCATGGAATTTAGTGAGTGTCGTCTTTATATCGAGTCATGTCAGTTTCTTCTTTGCCACTGAGGCCTGTGGTCCAGTGTTATGGCGCTTGCGTAGTATGGTAACGATCCTGGTTCGATTCTCGGTAGTGGATGCGCACTTCTGATTGGTCACGAATAGGGCGAAACGGCTGTCCAGTGCTTTCTGCATTCTGATGATTTACTATAAATGATTAATTGAATCCCACCAAATTTTCTGTCATATATATAGCATTTTTTTTTTTATATCATACACGTTTGGATAAAGACTAAGGAAAGTTCTCAGATCAGTTTTCTGTTTATTTATTTCTGTATTGAAAAACTATGAAACTGATAAAACACATAAACTTTCTGATAATGATTTAAGAAAGTCGAATGTACGACAGTGAGAAATTTAATTTTAAATTTTCAGCGAAAAGCAAGGAATTGTCTCCGAGATATAGAAAAAAATCAACAAAAATTCCTGAACAAGTGTGTGTGTGTATGTACGTGCGTTGTGTGTGTGTGTGTGTATGTGTGTGTTTTGTGTGTGTATGTATGTGTGTGTGTTTTGCGTCTGTGTGTGTGTGTAAAATTCTGTGACTTTCCTTAGTCCATTAATCCGTCTGTCACAGCCTCTAAAATAGCCAGACATTGACCGATCGAAATTTTGGGGTGAAGTACCATCAGGTAA